GATTCCAGCTTTTGTTCGTTCCGCGTTCGGGCGTGAACCACGCGTCGGTTACGGTCGAGCCTGCTATTTTCCCCGCGGACGATCCCTTCAATCAGGAATTACGTACAGCACGCATGGTGCCCGCCGCCGCCGCCGCGTATACACGGCCGTGCGGCTGGTACAACTCGCGGCTTACACCTTTCGAGTACAATTTTCATAATGATATGCGAGAGAGCGAGAGAGGTCGAGGCGAGTCGCGCGGCCTGCTGCATGGCTCCACCTGACATACAGAGCGGACCACGCGGCAGATGACCACCGGTACCCGGCATTATATGCGTGCGCCTCCTCCGAAACCGATATTCTTTGGGGATAATGAGCGTCCCGATAAGCGAACCGCCTACCATCGTGTCAACCGCGTGCACGGCATTGACATTGTGCGCCGTCCTTGTCGCCGTTACCAAAAGTCGAGCTGCGTGCTCGTTAAAAGAAGAGAGAGAGGATGCCCTGACATAGGTAGGTGCAATGAACTCTAGCGGCCGGTCAAATTGCTACCTTCTTCAGCGCACCCTCCTTATTACGGCTCTAGTTTCATCATGGAAAATCACTTTGAGGGAATTTCCGTCGGAGTTGGATTTATAAGGAGCGACAACTATGATTGGATAAACGTACGCGAGCAATACTCGTCCTGTTAGAGAAGATGGCTCAGGAATTTGAGATTAAACTTTTATTCGCGTTATTCGACATGTGACGAATGTCACTTCTTGAACCTCGCGAGTAATAGAAAACTTCTGCATCTATTAATTTTAACCTGCTGCATATTTTATTATTAATATCTAAATGTAAACTTTTCTAGAGCACTTAAAATGAGAGAAATATTGAATTTAATGTAGGATTATTCCTAATATAAGTAGAATAATTAAACTTTCCACTGCATACCATTAATCATAAATATTTCATGATGGAAACGATGATCATGTAAAACCAAGCATAGAAAGATGTGTCCAACAATTAGTTAATAATTCTCAATATTGTATTGTATGTAATAAATATATTATTATTAAATTAAAAAAAAAAGATATATCTTACATCAGCTCATAATAAGATAGCGCACTTCCGTTTTGCGGACGGGAAATATCAAACTATTGATTTTTCTTTGTTCGCCGCAAAACTAGCGGCCTTGATCGCTTCTCGTAGGAAGTTCATGACCGTGATCCAGGAAGATTGCATCCGAGTCCGCTTGCGGACTCGGCCGGAATACGGGGAGATTCTCACGCGAGTTTCCGCGTGCAGGCGTACTCGCGCGCGCGTTCCTCGCATCACGAGCTCTCGGCCATCGTTTTCTCGCCGCGCGTGCAGCTTTCGAAATATCGTAGCGCTCCGTTGCACGGTTCGGTGCCTATCAATCACTTGGCGCATGGTCCGACAATAAGACTCCTCGAAAGAGAGAGCTATTATCCTGCCAGACTCTGGTGATGCACGACCTCCGGGCCTCGACGCTGGACCTTAAATTCTCGCCAGATGATTGTGAGCCGCACGAAAATTCCGTAACGTTTTGCGAAACGTTTGGCACGAGCAAAAAGCGTTTTTTGGCGACGCATAATGAAATTTTATGCTTTGCGTATTAATTTCTTTGACATGAATATTATAATTTTGTTGCATTTAAGTTTAGCTAGACTTTACTTCACAATTTTCTTCAAGGAATTATTTATTTAAGAATCTTAAAAAGTTGAAGAAGATATGTGATGTCTTTTGCTGATATAAATATATATGGTTGTACATATATTTTATTCCTTGACAAATTTTTCTGAGTTATTTCTGATTACAAAATTATGAATGATATTATGAAGTACATTGCAGAAATCTCTTTAAAATGGATAGAGCAATGTCAGTATGAAGTACATGTTGAAGAACCGAGAGAAGAGAATTATGACGGTGTGGGCTCTCAGGAAGCCTCACATATTAAATCTCAGGCAAGCACGACGGCATAATGAAAAATCCGACAGTAGACATAAGTCAGGGCCGTCGCGAGGAAGAGCGATCGGGCTTGTTCTCCTCGTGAATATTCATCGATCTCTGCCGTACAATGGCAGGGCTGAGAGTGGCGAGGAGAGAACGAGATTCCGCACTATTAGTGCGGAAAGAACGTCCGCAACGATAAGATATTCTCCGTATATCATGTCTCGATTCTCATAGAATATGTTAAAATCTTTGATTAACTCTATATATGTTATTTCCTCACATAAATAGCAATTTTCATCACTATTACTTAAAGTTTCACAATTATCTTTGCGTATAAAATTACGATAACTATACATTTTTGAATGTTTAAAATAATTATTATCAACTATCGCAACTATTCAACATAGCTTTTATCTTATTAATTTTATAGTATAGATACCAATAAATATTTTATTATTTTAATTTTTAATTTTTAATATGTTGTAACATTATAAATATTTTTAAAAATCATTAAAAATTAATTTAATCTAAAATTTCAATAACCAACATTATGCGAAATAGCGATTTTTCAGAAATTATAAAATCTTAAGGACAACAGCGGGATTTAAAGTTTCTTGAGGATCGCGTGACAGACTAGTATCCGTGTATCCTTGAGGGAAGAAAACTCGTCGCACGTATGTCGATGTGCATGTAACCGAAGGCATATACACGGCACCAAGATGATCTATCGTTGCGTACAGGAACGCATGCTACTTGCCGACGGCGCGAATCGTCACGAATGCAAGCACAATGCAAGGCTAAAAACCAACCGCAGAGAATTCACGAATCACGCGACACGCGTCGTTCGTAAAATTAACTTCCTCTCATGCTCACGTTTATTTTATTAATCCCATCAAAAATTTTCAAAAACTTGCTGCATTGTAGATTTACCTATCAATTATTTAATATTATAATACTTTATCTTTTATTCCTTGCTAAAACATTCCACGAATACACAAAGCATCGCATCTTCATATTGGATTTTATCTTAACAAAATTTTATTCAAATGTAACTTCAAATTGTAACAATTTTTCACTAAAATACAATCAGATTCTATATTAAAAACTAAAAAAAAAATAAAAGACTAAAAAAATAGAAGCAATAAACAAAATGTAATATCCTATCAGCCTTGCATGTTTAAAAAATAATATTTCCCTTTCGAAGGAAAGTGTCTAAAGAACCATATATCGGGCTGTTTTATTGCGTTTCTCGTTTACTCTTAGATTTACTCGTGGGGTATAGTTTTCTTCGAAATGACATGCAAATGCAATAGGCATTCAAGGCGAGTCTTGATTTTTCAGGGCGTTACCCTCAGAAATTCTGGTCGGTTGATTGGTCGATGCAGAACGTTGAGGGCGGTGCATCTGTCGGCGGAAGATTTATATCCTGAGGCCGAGGTTGCTTCTACCCATTCCCGACTCACGACCGTGCTAGGCACGCCAAAAACAAAAAGCAACTTTGTGTCGGAATTCGCGTATCAGCGACGCCTTATTTAAAATTCTTTCTTATATCACACAAGCGAATTAAAATGTTCTAATTTGATTTACGCATAGTGGAATATATAATTATCTATGTTCAATACTAATTAAATTGGAATGAAATTCTAAACGTACCAATCAAATAAATTTATGTTCGTACGTGCAAAACGATATGTACAAAAATGTCCTCAGCAATTAGATGAAAATCTCAGATCGGCTATTAACAAATTAGTCAACGGTATTTATTCATTGATAAGAAAAGATTAATCAGCTTGTACTTAATTAATTAAATATTTATGATTATCATTTTACGAGACGTGACGCTCATATTTCAAACTATTAATTGTTTTAAACTATTGACGCTTAAATATTGTTTATCATATATTACACAATTTCTGTGTTAAATTGTTAGTACAATATATATTACAAAATTCAAGTATATCAGTTATATAAAATCGATTACTAATTTTTTTATTAAGATAGCGAGGGATATTTGACACATCACATTAAATTCAATACTCGAAGAATATAATTAAAGAACGCCTAACGCGGCGCACGATATTCACAGGATGGCTAATAATTGTGATTTGAGTGGGAGTTGAAATCCAATGATCCCGTGGATTCTTCTCGTGATATGAACACCAGACATTAACGTTACCACGGCGCGTTTCAAAATGGAGGATTCCGGCTCGGCGAGAAAACGATGCGATTATAACTCGGCCGCAAGGGCCGTTGGGTCTATCAAAACCCGCTCGGCCATACATCAATGCCATCTATACGTATAATTTCGATGTCGACTGACTCTTGGTTTTATTTGCCACGCGTAAAAGCGAAGGCGTACGGAGCCGCAACGCGAGATTTGATGTTAGGTAGATGCAACTCTGCACTTTGTTCCATTCTTTTATACATATGTTTATCCAATCCTTTCGAGATGCCTATGTATATATGTAATATACAAAATATAATTAAAAAAGAGTTTGATTATTTAAGTTATCTAAGTTATCTAAGTCAATTAATCATAAAATACGTTACATAAAATATTTACCTCTCTTAAATTTTATCATATATAATACAACACAGTATAATACAACACGACTCATCGTATCGCCATGTTTTTGCATTCTAATAATTGATTAACTAAATATGAAAAATACATAGCGCATGATCGAAGAAGATACAGAACATTATTGGCAGTTAAATGATACGATATTATCCGAAAGTAATAAATGTCACATTGTGGTTTAATGGCCCTGTAATTTTGGTCACATAACTGTCACCGCACTACGAGTTATAAAGATATAAGCAGCATATTAAGTGTCAATTCTTTTTGCTAGAATTTTTATTTGCACGAGATTACGGATTATATTAATTATTACCTCTTTTATTTTTACTTTCAGTAGCAGTAGATTTACACATATATACATATGCCTCTTTTAAAAAAATGTCGTAAATTCTTTGTGTGAATTTTTTATACTTTATTTTTTTATACTTTTCTTGTGTGATTTTTTTTTATACTTAAGCAAGCTTCTATCTTTTTATATCTCTTTATATTGTCATTGCGATTGCTTTCATAGAATATGCATATGCTCAACGATATTCTCCCCCGCCATTTTGTAAGATTTGGAGGACCTGGGTATGGGCGAGGAGGTCCATATACCACGCGCTCTTCTTGCGCCGAGATCGAGTAATAACCCAATAAATCAGGATACCCCAGCCGGTGCAATTACGTTCCGTGGCTGAAGCCAACTCGCAGAACCCAACCCCTCTCGTAAATATTGCCCTCTGCGCACCGACGCAACATCCTCGCCGAGTCCACCGCTGTTTCTTCCTCTCTCGGTTTCCTCTTTTTTTACGGCGGTCTCACGACCCTGCCGCAATGCAGGGGATCCTCCTCGTGTGCATCACACGCCGGGGTTGTTGACGATACTCGTGCCTCATCCCCCTCGTGAGCATCTCGCTCGTGTTCTTTTATTATCGCCCGCCGTTCTCTTACTGGACGCGGATACCGTAGCGCAACCATGGGAACCGTCGTGGCGTGTAGTGTCCGGGCCCTTTTTGGGGGGTTTAATTGCCACTGTGCGATCTGTTAATTCGCGAGTGTCAGCTTGAGAAAGCGAGCCGAGAAGCAAGAGGGAGGATTTATCTCTCCACCGTCGACAACGTGAAGATTCTATGGGAGTGTGTAGTCGCGAAAATATGGAGGTTGAAACGGGACGACGGACAAGAATGCGTCTGGGCTCCTAAGTGAATCATAGATAATCGAAATAGGGGGAGAAGGCTTAAAAAATAATTCTACTGTATAATATGTTAAATAAAAGAGGATCGATATATTTAAGATCAAATTAACATCTCTCTTATTAAAAAGATCTCATTATTCAAGTTTGAATTAATAAAACATTGCGCACATTGTGAGAGTGTAATAATTAATAATTATTCACATATATTCTTAACAATTATTGTATTCATAAAAGTATTTCATGTGGCTTAAATATTTTTAAATATATTTTTCGCTCTCTTCCGACAATGGTTTCGTCAGATGCAGCGTTGATGAACATTTGCACGATTATCTTTCAGGATGGCGAGAAACGGCGGGAGGGTCTCTCCTTGGTGTTTCCCGAAAATTATCGCCAGCATGCGATGCCGTGCACGCTTCACACATGACATACGACAGGTATGCCATCACAGGAGCGCAATTCTATCAATTTTGTCATTCTCAAAGGAGCAGGAGATGCGCGTTCGTTACTTTTGACAGCTGGCCTGCACTATTAAGCCAATAACACATTGTCGTTGCACAACAATCCGCAACGATCCGTTTATTAGAGCATTCACGATAAAGCATTAACTAGGAAAAGCGTAAAATGGCATGAGGCAAATTACATCGTTTGACAACACTGAAATTTGCACGAAAAAAAAAAAATACAAATAATCATCGTGAACGCGATACCTCCGAAACGGTTTGTATGTTATTGGCCGATAATTATTGAGAGAAACGAGCACACTGTGTGTAACACGCGATATAAATAACATGGCAGTTCTGGCTCCAGTATACAATATAAATTGACATCGAATACCATAAAATTTGCGTAATCTTTTAGTTTTATATACGAATTAGCTGTCTTCCTTTACTTTCTCTATGTCGCCTCATTTTAGTATAAAGCGACAGTATGATTTATGCGTTCGAGTTTGAGAATATTATAAATTTTTACAATCTAGTAATCCTTTTTATAATATTATGCAAATAACACAATTAATATTCTAAATAATTGGTAGACTGAAAATGATATTATTGTTATACATTATTATCTCAACTTCTCTCGCTTATAATTTTAATCTCAGAGACCTTTGTAATATTTTTAAAAATTTATTATAAAATTCTAAAATTCTTAGAATTCTGACATTTATTTGCTAAAATCAGATTGAAGTTTCTGATTATTTGTGCTTCTGTTATTTTGTTGCTGTCATTTGTAATTCTAACAAATTTTCCTTTGCTAGAATAAGGATCGATATTATTTTTATTATTAGAACCAGTGAGAAAGTTGAATAACAATGGCGTCTTCTAGAGCGCTTTAGCTCGCCATCGGCATTTCGACGTTAGGCGATAAATCTCGAGACGAGTGGGCTTTAGGAGGCCTGGTCGTGTTAGAAAAGAAGAAAGTAGAATGCGAAAATGAGGGAATGCGCCAATAGATTTACGAGGCCATCCGTCTTCGTAGTACGCACTTGATGCTCACATTCGCGATAAAAGCGCAGCTCATCTATGCCATGCTTGTACATGTGCGTTTGTGCGCACGGCACGTATACATATGTACGTACGATTCTAGAGGAACGGTTCGTTATTATAACCCACGAGACGTAATTGTTTCCAAGGAACCAATATGGAGAAAACCTTGCCTGAGAACTCAGAAGTATTAGCAGTCTTTCTACAGGACGTTTCAGCAATAGTGCCAGTAGTCACGATCATTCCGCTTGATTCTAATCACGGGTAAAAAGGATTATGTATTGGGATTTACATCAATATTACGACTGCAAAGTCTTAATATCACCAAAAAATTTGTATAAAGAACAATTATGAAATAAAACTGATAAAAGTAAAACTAAAAGTTATCGATATAATTTACGTTTAGCTATCTTAACTTTTATTAAACTTATAAGCTCGATCTTGTGAATGAGATCTTGAAAACAATGATACGAGAAAATTGCAGATTAAAATGATTGAATAAATTCATCACTCATTTCGTCTTTTAGCGCTTGTTTGATTTATCAAAATGTACAAGAAAGTACGTTAATATAAGCTATAATTTAAATTCGACGAAGTTGTAGGTCGCGAAGCGATAACGTAGTTCCAGATAAACGTGATGGCGAGTACATTAACATAACATAGTGGTAACACAGTAGCACGTGAGCCTTAGTAGTAAGTTTTGTTAAATTTAAATTTGAAAAGTTGCAAATATGCGACAGCATCGATATCGGTGAGACCTTGCTCGAAAATATCATGATATTAGTTAGCTTCCGCGGGAAGCCCAATAGTGCCGCTAGTCACGACTATCTCGATCGATTGTAATCTAGCAAGCGCGAAGGAAGCCCACAGTTGTATTTTTATCAGTGATCATGCAAAGTTGCCTTTTTTTTTTTACAAGCGTGCAACAACGGAAACGGCTTATCGATGTCACGACTCTTATTCGAATTCCATGTAAGGAACAACGTCGAAAATACTCGAATAACACAGGTGACTTGTGAATCGCGATTAAATTAAAAGCATGCCAAGCAAACGACGATGTTGACATGTCTAATCGAATTTGTTGCTGAGAATGATGTGACAAATTACGAAACTTGAAGCAAAAATCAATGATTAATTTTATTTGCTTCCAGATTTTCCCCATGCAATGAAGGATGAAAGGATTTGTATACGTCTTGTTGAGATGGCCACAGTTTGAAGATTATCCTTGAAAAAGCTTTTTCCGATAGTATTGGCTGCATAATTAATCGAATAATATTCAAATTTTTTCATAATAATAAATGCCGGACTATTAATCAAGTTTGAAATTACCATATTATCACATTACATAGTTCTTCTTGTAAAAAGATAGAGAAGAAAACATAAATAAAACATAATTATTAATATGCGTTCCGAGCGTATATGCTACAATTAAGAGATATTAATGACTTTAACAGATAAAATATGAAATAGTAAAATGATATTTATAGAGGTAATTTTGCATTATGAAAAAAATTAAAAGTCATTCAATGTAATTTAAAATCTAATGTAAAAGTATGCCACGAATCTTTCTCTTTACTATTTATTATTTTCCCTGACATTAAACAATTCTAAAAAAATATTATTTTTCTTCCGATGCAGATTGCATCCTTGCAAACGCAATCTTTTAAATTCTCACGATGCGAGATAAATGCAAGTACGTGCCCGCTCATTTACGCGCGAAATTTTTGCGCATTTCGCAATGTTCTTGCGTGTTACGAGAAAATAGCGGAGATACGTGCGTCAGCCGGAAAAAAAATGATTTTTTAGAGCGCGAACCCGGAATGGCGCCGACGGTCCGGTTTAATCTCGACACGCCCATTACACACGGCGTACATATTACATCACGATCGCATTCGATAGCAAGCGTATCTATATGAGCTCTATCCCCCCGTGTCTACCTACGATACGTGTAAGCCGCAATTAAAATTCAAGAAAAATTCTTGGAAACCTGTTTCGAGACCGAGCGAAATATTTCGCTACGGGGTGGTCACGCAGGAACGCCAGTCACGGATGATCTCGTTTAATTGCTCTAGCCCTTAGATGCTTTCCCTCAAAATTTTTGTCGTCTGCCACATTCTGTTCGATATTCTTTACTGTTCATCGCGATTATCAATTATTCCACGCAAAATTTATATATTTTTTTCATAGCTTCTTATGACTCCTGGTCATTTAATAAAATAACAACACAAAGTTTAATTAAGATTTGCAATATATGTATCTGACTTAATATTTATTGTTATGTTGATATATCTTAGTCCATAGAAATTAATGAGAAAAACTTAATAAATATTATATATATAAAATATAATTTTGTAATAATTATTAATAAATGTATGTAAAAACAAAGTTGTTATTTTTACATATAATAAATTACCTAAATAATTCTGTATTTACTAAGTTCATTACATCGTATCTTAATAAGGCAATAAATATAGTAAACATTCAGTCGGAATATCTGCATATAAATTACAACGATAATGTGTAGTTCGCGCAACATTAGAAGCACTCCTAACGTACCGTGTTGCGGTTGCAATTTTTACTCGCTGCTAATCATACGATCAGTAATCGATAAGGTCGTCACACCACGCCAGCTATGTTCCCAGGAAACAATATCACTTATCCTATCATTTTTTTACACTTTGCTAGTAATTTTTTGTCCTACTGTATTGAAACGTTTCTGTTGCGTCCGCGTGCAAGCCTATCGATTATGCGCGACGTCAACGTGAAAGAGAGAGAGAGAGAGAGAGGAAATTTCTTCGTGGAAATCATTTTCTAGCGTGAGTATCTTGATACTTGGAAAATGTTGCGCAAGTAAAAAAAAAGGAAAAATGGTAGTGGTGGTAGCCCGCGTGTAAGATCCCGGGTATTGTTGTGATTTCGTGAAATGGCGTGCATGCGGTACGAGTGGTCACGAAAGACGCGGTCTTGAAGAACCACCATTTTGAGAGATGCTGCATCCTGCAGACCGTGCAACCCACGCAAACTCATGGTCGACGGAGAAAACTCATACCGCTGCAACCACCCACATCCCAATCCCATTGGTCGAGGCGTCCTCATCCATAGGATACCACACCACCCACAAACCCAGATCATTGTCAGGTTTGTACAAGATATCCATGAGCCTTGGGACGATAGAATATTATCTCGTTTGTTTCAAATAAATAAAGAATTTGTATTAAATTTAATATCATAAATTATTATATATTATTAATAATAATAGAAGAATCTTAATTAAATTTTAGTTGTTATTAAAAGTGTAATTTAAACTCTTGATTAATTAATATCGCCTTGTATTTCAGAATATGTTTTATTTTTTATTAAATTTTATTATATTCTATTGTATTTTAAGTCATCAAGTAAATTACAAAATTTTTATAAGGAAAAGTTGACGTCAAATATATTTTTTTGTTTTGACCAAAAAGATCTATTCTCTTCAGTCTAATAATTTTCTTATTACATTACATTATATTACAATAGAGACGGATATAAAGGTTGCAATAAACTGTGCTGCGGTAAATAGAGTTGTCTAAATTTCACCCAACAAGCTAAACTGAGCTGCTTGCGTCGAAAGTGTTCGAAAGCCAAGCCGAGAACGGTATATCGAATTGAAGACAAAACACGTTTCGCCGAGTGGATAGGAAGGCCCCGGTGAGTCTCAACACGAGAGTTCGCGGCTTCCCCTTCGCCGTTTGGATTACGGTGAGTTAGACTAGGGCTAGATTATCTCAGTGACGGTAAGTATAGGTTGGATCGGCAGTTCTAGCCATCCCGCGGCCATACCAGGAGCATTGCTTCTCCGAACACGTAAGTCTGCCGCGCTTGCCGAGCGCGCCGAGCCACGCGATAATTCATGGGACTTTATGCGCACCTTGTGTAATGCCAGCTCTGTCGGCTTTTTCTTGGCCTTCGCTGCATCCTGAGAAAGGGGGAGGGTAGGGAGCGAGCAAAACCTTCGGATTATTGGCAACTTCGGTGGCTGGTTAAATAAGCGCGAGATTTCGCGGAAAAAATTAAAAAGAACACTCGGAAAATTGACTGAAAGTAAAAGATCATAAACATTAGAACACATTACATAAAAAGAATATCTGAGACCTATCAGATCTTTCGTTTGCGTAATTTCGTTCACTGAATCGCCTGAATCATATTTATTATTAAAAGGTTTTATAGGTCACGTAAATTTAATTGCTGGAAAAAAAAAATATATATATATATAAATTGTTTGAAGTAATTGTAAGTTATTTTCTAAAATTGAATATAAATATAATTGTATATATTACAATTCTTCCATTTCTTATAGTCTCAATTTTTATACATAAATTATCCGCAATCAGTTTAAAGTTTTTAAAATAATTATTAAAATTTATTATTCGGTTTTTCCGTAGTGAGAGATTTAGTATCGTGTCAAAATTTATAAATAAATAACATTTAAAAAGCTATAATTATTTTATTAACCAAATATTAAATTTTATTAATCTTGTAGCAAATTACCGGAATGGTAATCAACCGGATAATTTAATTACTGTAATACATAATTATCCAGCACAGAAAAAAATCTATTTGTCCTCTGAAGATATCGAATTAAGGAATAGCGATAAGGAAAGATAGACAAGTACGGATATGACGAAGAAGGAGGAGTTTAAGTACTCGCGCAGACTCTAACATTACTCCGAGGCGGTGAGATAATTTTTCCTCTGATTACCGGCGCGAGCAATATTTCAATTAGTTGTCAATTTAGTTGTCGGCGCCTGACGGACATATACGTATGCGAGGGCACCGCGGTTGAGAATAATTAACAATAAATTATCCGGGGGAGCTATCATTATGCCGACTAATCGCGGCAAATTGACCGTTATATTATTAAGCAGCTTGCGGACGCTAATTGCGTGCCGCGTGCGAATCGTCTTCAGAGACTACGACGCCTGGTAAGAGGGGATCGTCGCGAATAACTTAGGTGAATAATTGAGAGTCGAGTACGATCGCGTTCGAGATCGTAGATCATGTAAATTGATCAAAGTAGTTCATGGAGTTAAATTGTTGAGTAGAGAGGTGCAATGATAAAAGGATCTGAGGAACAAAAAAATTCTAGTATCTGTGGTTGATTATTCGCAGCTATTATTTTTCTCGACATTTTTTATTGTGGATACAAAAGGGTTAATAAGGATAAAAGTAATAAGCTACATGATACCTTGATATGCCGTGTGATTATTTCATGTTATATTGTTATAATTAGAAACTTATGATTATCAAAATAATTGAAAAAGCATACGAATAACTTTTAAATCCTTTTTTAATAAATATTTTTATAGTAAACGTTAACTTAAATAAAGATATTATAAATTATATTAATATTAAACGATAATAGATAAAATTGTAATGATTTATATTTTATCAAGAATCTATATACTATATAAATTAAAATTAAACAAGATGCATAAGTTATTAATTTTAGGATTGGTCAATACTTTTACTGGAAGTAAAACAACAAATGTTTCCACTTGATTTGTACAGAGGCCGCCACATCGCGCGAATGTGGTTGTAAACTGGGTGATGCAACACAAGATGGCGTAGTTAGTATCGCAAAGTATACAATAAGCTTTTATTGACCATAAAATTCCACATTGAATACATTGATATGTATTTCAAATTTTTACAAAATATAATTTAAATATATATTGTCTTAAATATAAATCAAAATTAACATAAATTT